CCTTAAAGCAATCTCAGTAAACATACATGTAACAATCAATATCCCTCCTAAGGAGCCCATGAGAAGTTTGAAAGACTGCCCTGTTTCATGACAGGTTGGGAGGTTGAACCTAGGTGTCTTGGTATCTCGAAGGAGACCAGCTCTTCCAGCCACCCCCGCTCCTCCTCCTCTGCTAGTCTGTTCCATCTACGCCCCCCCCCCCACTTCCTCCATACCAGTATCTAGTCCAATCCCATGTTCCCTCCAGACCACTCCTCCCATCGGGTCACTTCTACCATCTCCACTGCCAGCAGCTTAATACAAGTGACCTTAATGCCAAAGCCCTCCTTGAATTTCCATGGTGATGAGGGGACAAATCCTTACCCATCGCCCTACCCCGAGCCACTCTCCCCACAATACGTTTTTACCTTTGACTAGAATGTTCTTTCTTACACCCTACCTCCTCTCCCATACTTCAACTGGAAAAGGCCCTTCAAATCTCTTTTATAAATGCTATTTTCTCAGGGGGCTGCCTTGAGGGGCAATTGTGCTCCCCCTTGTCAATGTCTCACCTGGGATCAAGACACCCTGATCACACCCTGCCTGCACTCCTTCCTGGCTCCTGGGGTCCTGCTGGGGTCCACAAAATGCCCATTAGGCTCCAATGGAGAGGAGGAAAACACTAGCCCACGGAAAGGGGCCCACACCTCACTGAATGACCAAGAGAAGGCTCTCCGGGTAGGGTGCTGGGGGGAGAGGTGCGCATGCACATATATGTTCATTCGGAAGAGGTTTCTCCCCGCAAACGCTTCAGCCACGAAAGTGCAGGGTAAGGCTCACCACGACCTCTGTGCTTGCTCGGCTTGGCGGCTCCTTGGTGTGTTGCGCTCCTTCGGCATTTAAGCAATAACAACAACACAAAGTGCAGCCCGCCATTCGGGTGGGCTTTGTTCCTCGGGAATCGGGCCGCTTTCTCATCTTCCACACCTCGGTGCTCATTACCGCACTACAAACCCACCCCAAGGTAAAACTCCACGCAGGCTTCAAAGGGAAGCCCCCAAGATAAAGTCGCAGGAACTTTTGAAGCTCTGTGCTGTTTTCTAAGATCTGCGCCATACCAAAATACCGCCATTTGGGGGTACAGATTTGTTGGGGTTTTGTTATTGCTGCTGCATACAAAGGAAGCTAAATGAAAGTCTTTGTCTCGCACAGGCACCTGGGGTGGTATCGGGGGAGGCGCCCCCTTCGCCCCACAGCGTGCTGGGCCCGCAGCACGGGCGCCCCCACCACCCGCTGCACCGCTCCGCTGTGCTCGTTTTTTAAGAGGATAAAAGGGCCAAGAGTAGTAAGAAGCGTGGATTTACGAACACTAGAGAGAAAAATGAACCTGTTATCTGAATCAGGAGAGTGGGGAGAGGGGAGGAGGCTACCGCGATGTAGGGGGTTGTGGCTTTGAGACCCTGGGGACCATGAAATAAGGTGGGGAGGCGGGCAGACAGCGTGCGTGCAGGAATGCTGACCAGGAAGTTCAGAAGTTCCCGTCCTGGCAGAAAGGCTCGGAAGAAAGGGTTGGCAACCGACCTGCGGCAAAGCGGTCCCCATGAGGAAGCTTCATAAGGTGTTATCACCTTGGCAGAGGCTGGTAGGGGCAGAGAGAGGGGCACAAAAGGCTGGGTCATTGCATAAGCCCCTCCCCCCAGTTTCTTGGGGAGTGGTCTCCCCCTTCCCTCCCTCCTCTGAACAAGCCGCATGCTGGAGCAGCAGCCAGGGCTTGGCGAGGCTTTTATAAATGTTTTCTTGTTCACCTCTTCGATACATTTGACTCCGCTTGTGAGAGAGCAGGGATTTCTTTATAACGCGCAAACGACTCCCCACCCCACAGGAGATGGAGTGGGGGGGGGACTCCATTACAATATGCCCACAAATGTGTGAGACCGGCTTCCACACTGGGCCTGCCGGCTTGGTGCTTAAGACCATGCCCCAATGGGTATTGGGGAAAAGGTCGACTCTCCCCACCATGTACTAGTTTAAAACCTCTATTCACCGAGCCCTTCTCTGCTTCCCAAGCAAGGTCCCAGAAGGAATTATGCAATCGCCAGGCCCGAAAGTTACAATAAACCCAAGTTTCGGAGAAATTAGGAAGCAATCTTTAGTGTCACAATTGTTTTGAACCGCACCTGATGAAACGATGTGGGGTGACCCTCACGCTTCGTGGAAGAGCACAGAACGTGCAGCGGGGCCTGAGTGTCTGAAGCAACACCAGCCACCCAATGGTGAAGCTGAGCCTGAACCGGGCCCATGTGGGCGGGTACAGGACCCCGAGACGGAGATCAGCCGTGATTCCGGGCATTCCACGTGCCCACTTGGCGTCAGTAGACACATTAGGTCACCATAAACTGTAGCCCCCAATGCATGCCCCCTCTTCCCCCAAGCCCTCCCTACCAGATGCAACAAGACGCTCAGCCTGCCTTCCACCTCATGTTCCCACCACCTCCCTCTATTAACTCCTCCTCCCCAAGGACCCTCTCTCAGCCTGTGATGTCAGATGGAGGTGGTAGAATGATCAGTCACAGGGCTAACTCAGAACCAAAGTCACCAACCAGCTGCCACCAGCATTCAGCTCCCCGGCCCTGCCCCCGCCCACCACCTCTATGCAGTGACCATAATTCAGTCTCCCTCAAGCAAGATAGCAACAAATGGGCCTAGTATTGTCACTAGCCGTGGCTCCTTTGGACAAGAGTCTCCAGCCCCAGGGTGGCACGTGCTGCCGAGTGATTGGTATGGCAAGCATGCCTTCCATCCATTGGCAGAGGGAAGGCGAACAGAAGCCACGTCACTGCGCTCTTGGCCAAAGTGCACGCTGGCTCTGGAAAAAGTCTCTCCAGATCAGGAGCTTCTACCCTCGAAGACAAGGTCTCAGAACCGAAATAGGGGCAACTGTCCTTGTTGGGATTGGAGGGAGGGGGATGAAATTTAAGGTAAGAGTCCACCATGACCTCTTCCATGGGGTAAAGGTCATCAGCATGGGACCCCTGGAGTTCCATGCCACACACACGAGGGGTCTTCCACTCTTAGTACACTCAGGATCCGAACGTTCTCCCCACAGCCAGAGAGAGGAAAGAGGTTCCCACCCAAGCCGCCCACCATTTTAAAGACAGCATCCTCTTTTCTGTGGCTGGATTGTGCGGATTGTCCCACCGGGCATTCCCAAGAGCAGAGAATTGAATCCCAAAGCCTGAGCCACGTGTGTAATCCAGGGAGCCAGGAAAAGTTAAATGGGCCACCTGGATTTCTGCACACTGTGAAAATATCCACTTTTATACAGAAAAACTGCACCAGAACCCCAAGCCAGCTCTTTCTTTTTTTAATCTCCCCAAACACACACACACAAGCCAGCAATTTGTTAGCACCTATACCACTGCCCCTACTGATGTCTCCATTCGTAGAAGCAAAAGTGGAATCCACTACAAAAACTGACTTCCAGCCCCCTAAGAGGAGAACAGACTGCGAGGCCTGGAAGAGGTATGGGGAACTGGATCCTGTCCTTGCTCGGGCTACTGACTCTGTGTGTGACATTGGGCAATTCACTTGGCATCTCTGGGCCTCAGTTTCCTTTTCTGAGAGCAGGGTGGGCCTGCGAGATTTCCCGTCCTGAAATCTCGTCATTAGAGGAACATGTATAATTGGGGACTTGAGGGAAGGAGGGCGTTTCTGGCCAATGCCAACTCTATTTCTACCTGCCGCACATCATAATAGAACATTTTCACAAGTGATACCTCCAAATGTGCTTTTATGGAGATAAAATGTTTTGTTTTATATACACAGAGAGAGAGACACCCATGTTTATATTTGTCTCTGTACACATACATAGAAACTGAACTTTCACAAAACAGAGTGCACATAATTCACTAAATAATATAGATCCAATTAGAGTGCTATAACATAGAGAGGAAATTAGCCTGAATCTTGACACAATGTGTCTTAAGATTTTTCTACATAATTATGTTACCATCTTTAAATATATGAAAAAGAGGCAAGCTATCGTCAGATAACATTTTTGTGGTATTTGAATTAAAAATGCATGAATTGTTACATGCTATGCAGAATTCTACTTGCCACAGATTCATTAGGGGAAAAAAAGGTGTCTCTCATTAATTATTTCTAAAGTATGAAGTCCAGCTCATGATATAAACATATAGAAGGGAATATTCTAGTATGGATGAGTTATCTTCAAAAGAGGTTAATTTATAAAATTTCCCTTTCAGAGCCCACCAAATCCTAAGAAAGTGCATTAAAAATATATGCAGACACACACTTTATGTTGGAGTCTCTTAGTACTAAAAACAAATGTTGCCTCTCCCAAAATTCACACATTTTCTAAGTCAAAGCCATGAATAAACAGATTACATTTTAAGGCAAGCCTTTCCAAGTTCATTTCTACTCTAGGTTTTGAATCAGTTAGCCTACCCCTAACCCACCCACCCCCAAATAAAATCTAATGTTCTTAGTTTTTGCACTTTTTACTGTTGATTTTCCAACAAATATTAAGGTAAATTGTAGGGAGCCATTCGCATTGACAAGCTTCAAGTGCAGAGTTCCCTTTTTGAGTTTTCGGGTCCCCTCCTCCCCATCCTTTCCTTCCCCCCTAAGTGGCTTTTTCAGGTACTGTTTTGTGTGGCACTTTTGGGAGTGGGGTAAATATTTTAACATCATCCATAGTCTCCTCAAATCATGGTGACTTTGGGCCCCACAAGACTAGATTCGATTCGTGGCAACGGGGTATAGGTAATGTTCAGAGACTTTCAGGGTCACTTAAGGTCTCTAAAATCACACAGCAGGGGCAAAAGTACCTTATAGCTATAAGCCATGTCCAAAGCACATTCCCCAAAAAAACAGAAAGAAGAGAAAAACACCAATGTTCTTAAAGATAGACTGACACACAAGGCCTGTGATGGGCAAAAACACTTTTCCTTCATCTCGGTCCCAAGAAAGGGAGTCATTGTCCTTGTGAGTTTACTTACGACAATGTGGGCTGGCGACGGAGACCGGGCATCCTTGAGGGCTTGTCTGCTCTGAAGACTCCCTGCCTGGACATCAAGCAGCGGCCATTTCATCTGCAGGTACTGAGGGGAGGGGCAGAAAGGCAAAGAATGCATTTAGAGAAGAAACGCACACCAGCCAAAACAAAAGAGGGCTGTTCAGGGCTATCACAGGCCAAGAATCTTAAAAGTGTACATATAATCTCACACACACACACACACACCCATGCACTCCAACAGGTCCTTCCTTCACAGTCACGTTCAATGTGTGTCTATCCCGTTGATCGTCTGGGCATTCAAACTAGAGAGCAATTTTAGTTAAAGGTGCTTCATGATGCTGCCTGGTCTGCAGGGAGGCAGTGGTAAGAGGAGAGGGGGAGAAGGGGAACAGGGACTATTCTTAGGAGGAAAGCAAACGGGGATCTCAATTCCAAATCTGCTTTTTGGACAAAGTGTTGACCTTGATCTTTCAGGAGCCTTCGCTCTAAAACAAGGCAACCTTCCTTTACCCAGTAGAGGCTACTTCGGGGAAAGTGAGACAGGATTTCTCATCCCGTCTTCATGGATTGAACTGTTTCCCTCACATGTGTGCCAAGGAGCCCCGGGGCTTAGTGGACTATACACACTGGCCATTCGAAAACACCAACTGCTCCAAGGGCGAGAAAAATAAGGCTTTCTACTCCTGTAAAGATATTGGAGGCTTAGAAACCCACACGAGCAGCTCTCCTCTCTCCGACCAGGTCGATGAGTCCGAATGGACCCGGTGGCAGTGAGTGGTTGAGTTAAAGTGTGTGCCAGTTGGGCTGGGACCGTGTGGTCATCCTCTGTTTAGTGACATGATCTGCTGATCCTCCAAGTTGTGGTGCCTTATAAAACCTAACCCCTACAGGTTAACGAGGCTCTATCACTGTGGTACCTGTCTTGAGTCAGAGCCTTGCAAAGCACACACCCTTAATCATGCCCCAGACTTAAGTTACACCCTTGCTGGAGTTACGCCTTTTATCTTACAAGAGATTAAAGGGCAGAAAAAGGAGCAGGGAGGAGAGGAACTTCACTAGAACGGGGAAAGAAGAGTCGATCGTCCTTTGGACCTGAGAACCTCCTAGACCTAGACCCTAGAGAAGGTTGATGCCAAGACATCGAGAAATCTATAAAGCAGGTGCTGAAGGAGACGTCAAGAACTTTCCCTAACAGCCAAGAGAGAGAAAACCTCCCCCCACCGACCTCCTTTTAGGCTCCCAGCACTGTGAGAAAATTAACTTGTTTGTTAAAGTCATCCACTAATAGTATTTCCATTCTAGCAGCACCACGTAACAAAGGCACACCCAAAAGCCTATAAAACAAGACTACTTTCCAGTAAAAGACGCACCAACAGGACACGCACGATACAATTTATACACTCATCTCGAAGCCTCTATGCAGCAGAACAATTTGTAAAGCATGCGCAGGTTTACCTCCAGGATAAAAATAAAGGTATGAGTCAATGATGTCGACCCCACCCTTCTCAAGAGTAGAAAATGAAGACATGAACACAACACGAGAAGAGCTAATTCCACAAGGATCTACATATAACCCCCTCCCAGGGGGGTGGGCAACAGGAAAGTGGGTAAAGGGAGACATCGGTCAGTGTAAGACATGGTGTTATAAATTATCAAGGGATAATGTTATAAATTATCATGGGGTGTTATAAATTATCAAGGGTTCATGACGGAGGGAGGGGGATGGGAGAAAAAATAGCTGATACCAAAGACTCAAGTAGAAAGAAAATGTTTAGAAAATGATGATGGCAACATATGTACAAATGTGTTTGACACAATGGATGGATGGATGGATTGTGATAAGAGCTGTTCGAGCCCCCAATAAATGATTTTTTTTAAAAGCAGAAACTAAACACTCAACTGATCTGACTCTCCATTCTCCAGGTAGGACAACTGAGAGGAAAGGTTTGCCCAAGTAGAGACATTTAACACATACACTAGCTATCTCGGGCTTGTGGTTTGGAATGGAGACATCACCATCCATTTTATAGAAAATCTTCAGGTGATCACGTAAAACTTAAACACAGTGCAAAGGTTTTAATAAAGATGCCAATACTAGCCCTTATGCACCCAAAGGTCAATTGATTAATGCAACAGTTAATGCATGGAAGCTGCTTGATCTTTCCAAAGACCCAAAGCAAAACAGGTGGCTTGTTTTGATATTAATTCTACAAGAAATTGTACTCAACAAGTATTAATTAGACCTTGCTTCATGGACCACTTTCTTGCTAAGCATTATGTAGAAACAAAGATGCTTGACCTCAGGGAGCTTCAACAGCAGAGCAGAGGCCAATACACACACACAGACCCTCAAGACCCAAGTAGTGAAGCCATGAAGCTACACCCAACACCTTGTGGTCAGGGTAGGCCAGGAAAGAATGGAGTATTTTTAAGGAGGAGGGACTTGGAAGAACCTTGCCTTCGAACTACCTACCAACTTACATGGCGTTCAGGGTTGAGTGCGGAGGTTGCTAACCAAAAGGTGGGCAATTTCAGCTCACAAACCAGGAGGGGGAGAAAAGGACCCAATGGTGTGCTTTCATAAAGATCGTAGATCAGTATCATTAATGAACATTTTGATCAAAGATTCTCTAGGAGAATCTTTGATCAAAATGAGGGAGTGGGTTCTTGAATGCTTCCTCCACCCCCACTATCAAGATCCCAATTCTACCTTACAAATCCAGCTGGACCGGAGGATGTACACTGGTACAGATAGGAACTGGAAACACAGGGAATCCAGGACACATGAACCTCTCAGGCCCAGTGGTGAGAGTGGTGATACAAGGAGGGTGGAGGGAAGGTGAGGGAGAAAGAGGGAACAGATTACAAGGATCTACATATAACCTCCTCCCTGGGGGAAGGACAGCGGAGAAGTGGGTGAAGGGAGATGTCGGACGGTGTAAGATATGATAAAATAATAATAATTAATAAATTATCAAAGGTTCATGGGGGAGGGAGAAGCAGGGAGGGGGGGAAATAAGGAGCTGATCCCAAGGGCTCAAGTAGAAAACAAATGTTTTAAGAATGATGAGGGAAACAAATGTACAAAAGTGCTTGACACATGGATGGATGGATGGATGGATGGATGGATGGATGGATGGATGGATGGATGGATGGATGGATTGTGATGAGTTATACGAGCCCCCAATAAAATGATTTTTTTTTAAGTATAATTTTTTTTTTTTAATGAGGGTGTGGGAGATGGTAAAGAACCAAAATTTCGAACTCTCATGAAATCCTACTGGCCGAAGGTCATCTTTAAACCTTTAACCCAAAATGCCCCCCGAAGTCTTCTTGCAGCTTAAGTAGTAAAGACTGTGGCCTTGAGCGTTATGACATCTTTCAAAGTCTATCTATATGGGGTCCAACTGACTCCAACCACCAGAAAGACATGGTAGGGACACTTCAGGGACTGGAGTTTCTGTTCATGGTGAGAAACCACGCAGAGAAGGAGCGGCAGGGCAGTCACAGAGCTCAACGGCTCCATAGCACCGAATCGCACATGCTGAAACTGGTGGATTGGTGTTATGTTCTGCTGCATACATTCTCAACACAAACAAAAGGACTGGCAACAGGAAACCCAGTGTGACACTTCTACTCTGTCTGTCACACGGGGTCGCTATGCGTTGAAATCAATTCAACTGCACAAAACCACCGCCAAGGTACAGAAAGCAGGAGCAAGTAGTAGCTTCCACCACCCCAGAAGGTCTGCCTGGAGGTCCCCTCCAGTGAGAAAACGGACTGCTAGTCCGGACTCCGTTAGGACCCTCCCACCACCCAACCAAGGTACCTTGGAGCAAATCCCTTGGTCTCTCTGAACCCCTAGTGTTTCCTCAGAACACTCAAGGGGCTGTCCTACTCTGATGAGGGTCGGGGTGAAGGGTCACTCCTAGAACTAAAGGACTTTCAGGATCCCAGGCTCCCCGAGAATAAACACCGCAGAGACCCCCAGTCATCCTTACAACCAAGTCATTTCCAGACATCAGCTTTGGGGTCATCTAAGGGTGTTTCAAATAGTTCATGGGAACATGGGTGAAGTGAGAGAGCAGTCGGTGTAAGATATGAAAACAATAATTTATAATTTATCAAGGGGTCACAAGGATGGGAGGTAGGTGTGGAGTAGAAGAGGAGCTGACACCAAGGGCTCAAAGGAAAGTAAATGTTGAGAAAATGATGATGTCATCACGTGTACAAATATTCTTGGTACAATTGATATACGGAATGTTATCAGAGCTGTAAGAGCCCCCAATAATTTTTTAAGTACATGGAGAAATGGAATTTTTCAAAGATAATGAAACTTTCCCATGAATTCTCTGAAGCCCCTTCTTATGGAACCCAGACTGAGAACCACTGAAGTAAATATTTTTGGGGTCTCCTTCCACCAAGAGGGTCATGGGAATCTATTCTTGCCCTTGCTTCCTCCCCAGTCTCACAAACCACATCAGCACATGGGCTACGCTGGTCAAAAGCATTCAACAGAGTCACTTCCTAGAAGGCAACCCAAATGAACAAAGCCACTCCCCTCTCTAGCCCATTCATCACAGTTAAACATCTGCCCTTGGGGTACCCACAGCGTGGGGGGGTGGGGGGTGCCCCTAGCAAGGATCTGCGCTTATCTGTTGGCCATCAGCAAGCCTGAGTGGCCTGCATCCTCACACCAGTTCCACAGAAATTAGGGAATATGTGCTTTGTTGCAGGTGCCCAACCTCACCCAAGAATTGTCAGTCCCAGCAGGCAATAGTAACTCAGATTTAGAACTGCTACTTTACATAAAAAGGCCATTGTTTGCCATGCCCAAGCACCGCGGGCTACCTGCCCCACATAGTTTTATGAACCTACATTTCAGCACGCAGAGTCTACAATACACATAATTTTCAATTACGCCGGGGCAGCCCAGGATCACTGCCTATATAACATTACGGGTTGGAGGAAATGAGGCTGCCCCACTGCCCAGAGAAGGCTAACGGGATCCAGATGGTGGCAAGGAGGCAGCCTGGCCCCTTTTGCCTGCAAGGACTCTTTCCTGATGACAACGTTATGCCAGCA